GAACATGAGTGGGGAGAGTGGCAGAGGGGGCACAGGGAGCCCGGTACGGGGCCTGATCCCAGGACCTGAGATCATGACCTGAGCCAAAGGCAGGCGCTTAACCGACTGAGCCACGCAGGTGCCCCTAAGATCTTTTTTTAAAAGATAAATTTGAACAATGAGGCACCTGGGTGGCTCAGTGGGTTAAGCGTCCAACTCTTGATTTTGGCTCAGGTCATGATCTCAGGGTCCTGGGATTAAGCCCCACATCAGGCTCTGCACTCAGCAGGGTGTCTACTTGAGGATTCTCTTTCTCCCTCTCCCTCTGCCCCTCCCCCCATTCACGCACACACTCTCTTTCTGAAATAAATAAATAAATCTTAAAAAAAAAAGATAAATTTGAACAAGCTTGTTTATTTTTTTTTTCCAAAGATTTTATTTATTTATTTGAGAGAGAGAGAATGAGAGACAGAGAGCATGAGAGGGAGGAGGGTCAGAGAGAGAAGCAGACTCCCCGCCAAGCAGGGAGCCCGAGCGGGACTCGATCCCGGGACTCCAGGATCATGACCCGAGCCGAAGGCAGTCGCTTAACCAACTGAGCCACCCAGGCGCCCCTGAACAAGCTTGTTTATAACCAACTGTTTCTTCCAATAACTAGAAGCCAGCTTGGGGAAAAGAAAAAAAAAAAAGCACACATAAGAATCAAAACTAGAAAGCAATCAGGAAAAATGTGTGATCTTACAAGAGAATAAAAATATTATTAAGAAAATATATATAAATAAAAAGTCCAAAGGGATTTAGACCAATTATTCAAAATAATGATAATTTAAAGATAATCAGCCATAGATCTACATATGAAAATTAATTGTATTTCTATACACACCATCAAATAGAAAGAATAAAAGAAAGACAACATTTAACACCTTCCCCAAACACACATACCCTGTAAAACTATAAAGTACTTAACACCAGATACATGAAACAGATGAATAAAATAATTGTATTCACTGTATTCCAGTCATTTATTGTTGCATAACAAATTCCTCCACAACTTAAGGGCCTAAAACCACCATTTGATTTTGCTAATGATTTTGTAGTCCATAAAGTTAGGACATCCTCAGTTGGGCAATTCTCACTTGGGGTCTCCCGTGTGGCTGAGTCAGGTACCCACTGAGGCTATAGTCATCTGAGAGCTCAACTGCACTAAATGTTCTGACATAGCCCACTCATGTGGCTGGCACCTAAGGCTGCAAGTTCCTGAAAGCTCAGTTGTGGCTGTAGCTATCTCCCACAAAAGGGTCTCAGGATAGTTGGACATTTCACATGATGGCAAAGCTCCCCTAGAGCAAGCACCCTCAGAGAACCAGTGGAAGCTATCTGACCCAACTTGGCCTCAGAAATCAGGCAGCATCATTTCTGCCTCAGCCCAGATTCAACAGGAAGGGACTCATACTCTACGGTCATAATGTAGAATACTAACTAGGAAGAAATACTTGCAGGTATCTTTAAAAATCTACCACAATTGGTATGCAGAATATTAAAAAAGACATTAAAAGTGCAAGAATATCCCATATTCACAGGTAGGAAAAGTGGACATTATAAACATGTCAATTTTCTCTAAATACATGGATAAATCCAATGCAATTTCCAAATTCCCAAGATTGTGTATGAACTTTGACAGGCAGATCCAAATTTCATATGGAAGACTAAAAGGCCAAGTACAGCCAAAACACTCCTGAAAAGGAAAAGTAAGATGGAAGCACTGTCCTACCAGGTATCAAGCCTTATACAAGGCTATCTTAATTAAGATAGTGCAGAACTTGATGGAGAAATAGACAAACTGACCAGTGGAACAGAAAGACCAGAAACAGATGCATACATATATGGAACTGTGATATGTAAACAGCACTGTAGAAATCAGTTAATAGTGAGAGACAACTCTCTCGGAATAAAGGAAATTTTATTTGTATCTACTTTATATCATCAATTTCGGATGGATTAAGACTTAAATGTTAAAAGCAAAACATTTTAAAAATTCAATAGAAAATATAAGAAAGTATCTTCTTGATCTTAGGATAGAGAGCATTCTTTGAATAAGACACCCAAAGCATGACCATAAAACAAAAGATTGACAAATTAGACTATATTTAAATTAAGAACTGCTTTTCAACAAAGATGCTAGAATGAAAGTGAAATGATAGCTCTAATTATATATATCTAATAATGAGAAATCTAGAAAATCTATTATAACTGTTCATGAAATTGTCCAAAAATAAGTTTTACAAACTAGCAAAGAACTACCCTATACAGAAAATTCAGAGCATATATGAATAAAACTAAGCAAATACCTACATCTAAAAACAGTTTCAATCTCACTGTTTTAATGGCACACATAAATCTTTTGTGTCAGATGGAGATCAATAATGTAAATATATATATATTCTTTAATCAGTAAATAAAACACTTTGACCTGAGGTCAAACACTGAGACAATAACCATTGTCTCAATAAGTGATTTTTACTGACCTATTGAACAGTGAAGATGGCAAGAAATCCTAGTCATAATAATCTCACTGACATTTAAGTGCTTAACACCATTCAATAAACACTGAATCTTGCTGAACACCAGGTACTGTGGAATACACAAAGAGCAGACACACAATCCCTGATCTTCAGGTCTATAACCTAGTTAGCAAGCAGTAAAATACATATGTAAAGAGGTAAGTCAAATTTCTATCAGACCTCATGTCAATCTGTTTTTTTCCATCTCCACTATCTCTGTAATCTCTCCTAAAGAATCTCTTGCACTCATTTCACTCTATCCCAATCTATTCACTACACTGCAGCTATAGAAACCTTTCTGAGATGCAAGAAGACCACAGATGCACTCTTTGGAGATACAAACTGTAGAGATTCAGAAACACCAGGCACAGGGCTAAAAGAGATTTATGTGAAAACCTGTACTGAACAATGAAAGCCTAGCAGCCTCACTTAGCCTGCTTCTATAACTGAAAAATAAATGTCTACTTGCCCTAGGAGAATGAGGATTCTTCTCTAGAAAACTAAACCAGAACAAACCTCCAGCTACTGGTATTTGGAGGTTCCTCCAAGGAAAAGGCCACGGTTTGCTGACTCCTGCAATTAAAGATTAAAAAAAACAAAAACAAAAAGCAGAGGAATAAATTATCAAATAATTTAAATTTCCCACCAGGTATCTCAGTTGGTTAAACATCCGACTCTTGATCTCTGCTCAGGTCATGATCTCAAGATCCTGGGATCACTGTGGAGCTCTGTACTCAGCAGGGGGTCTGCATTCTCTCTTCCTCCCTCTGCCCCTCCCCCTGCCAGTGCACACTCTCTAAAATAAGTAAGTCTTTAAAAAATAATTAGATTTCCCAGAACTAATAAAGAACATAAGTTTTTAGATTGAAAGAGTCCAACACAAAGCACATCATGACCAAATTTGAGGACACCAGGGATTAAACAGATTACAAAAGCTCCCAAAGGGGAAAAAAAAAGATCTCATACAACAATTGGGAAATCAGGCATCAGCTTTATTAAGAGCAACACTAAACTAGAGAACCTTCAAATTTGAGAGAATTCCCTACTGAATTCTGTACCTACTGAATTGAGCAATTCTGTACCTACTGAATTCTGTACCTACTGAAATGAGCAATCACACGAGAGGGGAGAAAAAGGGTATTTTTCAGACTCATAACAACATAAAAATTTACCTCCAAGGTACCCTTATTTAGAGAGCTACTAAAAGATGTACTCCAACAAAGCAATGGAGTAAACCAAAAATGACTAAGGCATGATATCCAAGAAAACAGGGACCCAACACAGAAGAGCAGCTGAAGAAGTCCCAGAACAGCAGCTGTGCAACTAACTAAGTCCAGACTGGGACTGGGAACAGGGCTACAGGACGGAGTCTTCAGGATAAGGAATGGAACGTAGTATATTAGAGCATATGAAAATTATTATTGACAGCATGTAGCAGCGATGTGGAGCATTTAGAAAAAATTAACTACAAATACACAGAAAGCCAGGAAATAAAAAAAAGAGACAACTATTAACGTCATACAAAGCAAAGACTATACTATTTCATTATTTGGCTTAGAAGGAAACACTATCTTTATAATCAAAATAATGAAATACTTATAAGTTAACCAAAAATTACAATATGTCATTGTGTAAGGGGAAAGGAAGTACAAAAGCAGAGTAAAAAGCTAGATCTTCACCTATCATGGCAAGAAGAGATAATGCCCGAACCTGATTAATACCAGTTTACACATGGTATTAAGGAATAAAGAGCTAAATACCAGGGAAAATGGCCAAAATGATTAAAAGTGGTTTCCTCCAAGTAGGACTTGGAGATGGAGAAGGGTAAGGTAAAGCCTTCTAACGTTATTTGGCTTTTAACTATGTAAATACATGATTTTTTAAAATTAATTTAAAATAATTAACATTTATTAAAAAGCCAATAGCTGCAAAAAATATTTGCAACACTATGTTACTGTAACAGTATTATAGACAGAAGAACAGTATCTTAAAATTATTAAAAACTCTTGCAAAAGACAACAGAATATATGCAGGGGACATGAACAGGAAATTTACAAAAGAAATATTACTATCCAAGGCACATATGAAAAAAACTTTTACCATGCAAAGCAATAAAAAGAAAAACTCCAGATTAAAACAACAAAGCAACATTACTTTAACTACTAATCAGCAAAATTTTAAGGAATGGGTAATACTAATGGTGGTAAGGTTTTTGGAAAATGCGATGATTTTGAGTGTAAGTTGATACATTGTTTCTGGAGGAAATTTTGGTAATATGAATCAGAATCTTAAAAATATGTATGACATTTGATTCAGTAAATCCTGCTAAAAATGCACCATTAAAGAAATAGTTACAAATATGCATAAAAGGATCCAACCACAAGGGTAGTTATTTTAACAAAATTTTCTTAAGACTGTCTTTTCCATATTGATTTACTAGAAACAATGTAATAGCCTTACCTGAACTGTACGTCCTGCATTGATATGCTCTTCATGCAACTTATCCCAGATTCTGCACCTTTGGTACTATACAAAAGAGAGGAAAGGTACAGTTTTTTTTTAATCACTAAACTTATTACTTCTAGTTACCCCAAAAATCCCCACTCACCTAACCAAACTTAAACATACCAGCTAAAGTTATTGACTTAATAGTGGCAGCTAACTGTCCAATGACAATATAAGTAGGAAATTTTCAAAAACATTACATACAAAATTCTGGCAAATGGTAAAGCAAATAAATTTATTTTGCTGAAAAAAGACAGTGTACTCTGTCTTGCAAATTCTTTGGAGATGAAAAAAATGAGAATGTAAAAGAATGAAAAATAAAAGGATTAAGAGCGTTCATGAGATATTCTTATTATTTATGAAGAATTTTAAAAGTTTGTCAATGATAGTGTCAAGTATTAAAAATAAAATCTGACTTTGAGAAAAAGTAACACTGATACTGCAGACTAGAAAGTACACAAAAATGAGAATGAACATTTAATATGCATGCTTCAGTTTTTACTAAGGCAATGTTTAGCTTTCAGAGTTTCAACCAAGAATTCTTCATTTGACAGGAACCATAGCAAAATGTGGTAACATTACGGCACAATACTTATATAGAATATAAACATCAACACCAAACATCACATACTATTTTTGGTTGAAATAAAAAATCCAAATAATTAATATGTTAGGAGGTAAGTGTATCACTGGTATAGTATACGTTGAAAGAAAAAAAAATCAACCTAGAAATACTGTGAAAGGACAGAAACATGAAAATGTCCCATGTAAGGGCACCTGGGTGGCTCAGTTAATTAAGCATCCAACTCTTGATTTCAGCTCAGGTCATGACCTCAGGTCACGAGATCAAGCCCCCTGATGGGCTCCTCGGGAGTCTGCTTGAGATTTTCTCTCTCTCTCCCTCTCTTGCTAGTTCCTTCTCTCTCTCTCTAAATAGATAAATCTTAAAAAAAAAAAAAAAAAAAAAAAAGAAGTCCTTCAGGCTGATGGAAAAATGATACCAGAGAGAAACCTGGCTCTACACAAAGGAATGAAGAGCACTGAAAATGGTACATATAAAACGTTTTATGGGGGACGCCTGAGTGGCTCAGTTGGTTAAGCATGGGGACTCTTGATTTTGCCTCAGGTCATGATCTCAGGGTCATGGGATCGAGTCCCACCTCAGGCTCCGCGCTGAGTGTACAGTCTGCTTAAGACTTTCTCCCTCTGCCCCGACTCTCTCTCTCTCTCTAAAATAAATAAAATCTTTAAAAAAAAAAAAAGTTTATTTTATTTTAAAAATCTCTTCGAAAGAAAACTGTTTAAAACAAAAATAACAACAATGTATTGTTGGGTAATAACATACACAGAAGCAAATTATATGACATTAATACTATAAAGACCTTGGAAATGTATTATTATAAGTTTCTTATACATGAAGTGATCAAAGTGATTTATATATATATATATATATATATATATATATAAAACAAATCAATGAGACTGATTAGGTTTGATTTTGTACCCTATAGTTTGTGCTTCATACCTAACCTGGACAGTCCATGCCACTCATTTCACACTTAATTATATGTCACTATTATTCTCTGAACATTACCTAATTTATTTCCTTAACTGGACTGTATACTTCTTGAGGATTAGAAATCTAAATTTTTATGAACTTTTCAGTGCTAACAACAAAAGAAACAGCAAACACCAACACTTAGGAAAAGCTGACATACATTTATTTCTTGTAATTAATGACTTCCCTTCTCATTAAGCCTGGAAGATTGAACACAAGCATTTATCTCTGCTCTTTTCTAAAACCCAACTAAAATGGCAATAAAGAACTTTAAAAGGTATACATTCATGAGAGTCATAAAAATACAATAGAAGGTATCAGTTGACAAGAAATTTTAACAAAATTTTAGAAGCTGGAAGGATTACAGACATGTTGCAACGGACTTAGAAGATCTGAGAAAGCTACACCATGAGGCTGCAGAAGGGGTGAGTGGTGTGGGAGAGGCAGAGTGACAAGCCAACAGGCACACCACCACTCCCGAAAGACTCAGTAACCAGAGCTACCAGCTAGTCAGGAGGATGTGTACGGTGGGGCGGAAGGATTGGCTGAAAGTTTATGTAAGGAAGAGGTACTCTACCAAATGCTCTCTGCAGGCCCAAGCAACTACACTGCCCCTATCACCACAGAAGACCACATTCCAGAAAAGTATCTTGTGGTTCCCCATTAAAACAGATCCTTCACCTGCTCACCCCTCCAGGTAACAAGACCCCACCTACTTCCTGCTACACACACAAATACCTTCCAATTAGCACTCTTGAATATCAACAGCTAGCCAAGCAATGCCCATAATACTGCAGGCTGACACAAAGAAGAAAAGAGGGAGGTGGGGGGAGAGAAAGTAAGAAATAAATTTAAAGGGGAAGAAAGAATAAAGAAACTCAGGGAAAACAAAGAAGCAGATAAAAACTTAAAAAATAATAATAAAACCACCAGAGAGATGCTATGATACTGCATCCATGAAACAATAGGAAGATTCTCTTTAAAAGAGAAGTGACAGAAAAAAGAACATAGCAAAAATATGATTCTCGTTATTTCATCTTAGCTAGAATCTGGATGTAATAGCTGAGGTTGGAGCTGCTGTTTTACATGCAAGATAGAAACAAGTTGAGGATCAGAGAGCAGGATAAAAAGAGCCTGGGTCTTTATTGACTGCTGAGTTGCCACTGCAGCCCGGAGTGTCTCTGTAACTATGAGCGGTTAAAAATAAAGCAAAAACAAAAAAGGTCTATCTGATTTAATACACTATTTCAGGGTTTTCTGCCACTTGTACTTTAACCATATACTAGCACAGTACATGCTACACAGTAAGTTTTCTCCTAACCCTACAATATGAAACAAAGAAAATCATGTTCCAAGCATATGATCTTGTTTCTATTAACTATGCTGAAGCCTATCTTACGTTAGCCAAGAAAGCTGAATGCTAACACTTCAAATTTCAGCACTGCATTCTAATCAAGTCTATCATGTGTAATAAAATGTAATGCTGAAGGACCTATGGAATACAGTCCCAGGTGTCCACAGCACACTACTCTCATTGTTTAAGGATGTTGCAGAATCACTCCACCAAGGCTTACCTTCAATTTCCCCTCAGTGTGACTTTCTTCTTTTAAATTCATATTGGATGACTGATGGCTAACATAATAAATATTTTATCTTTCTACACCCTTCCCCCAGGAAGAATATGCCTTTTTTAAAGTGAGGCACTGTCAAACACCTGGAGTCCAAACCTAGTTCTTAACTCTTTTGTCCACAGTGAACACGGCAGCTTTTAAATGTTTCTACCTAAAAAGTCACTTTCATAGTAAAACTAGAAATCCTAGAGACAGTATAATGATCAAGAATACAGAATAAAACACATGAGTTTGCTTAGCTTCAGACATCACCTATATTGTAAATTGTAACTATTCTGACATTGTCTAAAAATTTCACATTAAGTAAAAATTTCACAAAATGCTAAAGGAAAAATGTTATGGCAGAGAAAGATCAATATAACTCTGGAATAATTTTCTTATGAAGTTTGGCACAACTAACCAAATCAATAATACATCCTTTCCTATCCCCACCTTCCTTGTTCCCAGGGTTCTGGCTTTTCCATTGATGACTGACTGGGTGGTACATGTGGCTAGGATCTGAGGGTATGACTGCAGGCACTTTATACAGAATAAGTAAAAGAAATGGGAAATCTAAGACATGCCAAACCTCAAAGGTAATATTGGGCAATAAAGGAAAGAAATTATCTTAATAGACCGTAGTCCACCTATGTCTAGCTTTCAGAATCAATTCATCTGCCAAATTCTAGTCATCTTTGTAACTGAACACTTTGATATAAGCTCAGGACTTTAAAACACACCTTACCAACCTGCCACCCAGATATGATCAACCAAAGTAAACAACTCGATTTCTATATTGTTATAGTGCTGAAAGAATGAGGCTTTCTCATTAATCAAAGCATGGAGCCCTGTAATTTGTTTCTGCTCATGACAAGAAAAACCAGTTTACCAGAAAACTCTCCCACCCTAAAAAGTCACAGTACTTACTATCTACGAATAAACAAAAACTTAAGAGATGACAAAATAGCAACTGTGGATTCCAGATAGCTTCATACTTGCATTGAAATTTTCATCTTAATATTCCTGGTACTTATTTTCTATACTTTTTGGAAAGACTTAAATACTAGGAAAACAGATGGTATCTATGGGGGGAAAAAAGCTGACACTTCTTAGTTGTATAAGGTACTCAGGTGAGGGTGACAAATACTGTTTATACTGAAAGGCTTAATGACCACTTCCACCCCACCCCCCACCGCGAAAAATTAATGGAGGGCCACACAGCCTAAAATTTATACTGGGGAGGTCTTTTTGAAGGAGCAAATCCTACTGACCTACAGCAAATAAAACAATATAATCTGCCAAGTCAATGCTCAGTACTCAGTAAACCTGATGTTCCCATGAATGCCACAACTATTCCACCAGACGCTGGCCAGTCCAGGTTCTATGCAACCTTCACCATGATCCATGAGACTAGTTCTTCCCTCTATCTATTTCCTAAACTGACCTCTAGGTGGTATTTCTCAATTTGGGGCTTTCCTCAAAGGGAAGAAGTCAATTTGGGAAATTCCCTCATATCACACAATGATTTACCTCTTTACTCTATGTGCACCTGAAGAGGATAGGAGTTACTGACAGACACCAAAATTGAAAAAACTTGCCATGGGGTGAATGAAATTAAGGCAGGCCCATTAGCCAAAGTTCACTGCCTTCACATTATGGTGCACTATCAATTTGTATTTTAATTATTAACTGCCTAAAAGGTCAATATGTACAACTTAAAAGGTATAGTTTCTATTCTTATATCCCTCCCTAAAAAAGGAATAAGATGAGGTATATTTGTAAAACGAAAACCCAGATGAAAAAATGAATGTTACTAAATCAACAGGAGATGGATGTTTTACCAAAGCCTCTTATCTAATATTCTAAATTTAGCTGAAATGCACAAATATAAATCAGAATTCGCAACTGTTTCTTGTGGTAGGAAATGAAAAAAACCCACCTTCTCAATATTTATCTGGTGCTTTCTTAGCCTCTCCAGGTCTGTTGGGATTACTATCTTAATGAATTTCTGGATAGCTGGTTCAAGACGCCGTAATTTCACTTTTTCATCTTCAGACATCCTAAAAAAATATTGTGTCACTTCTACTTGCAGCAACTGTCTTCTCCACTCACATAGAAAAATCTAAAAGGGAAATATTTAAAAATGTTTTTAATCAGTTTCTATTATTTTTAAAAGCCAACAATTAGGTAATTTTATAATTTATTCTAAATATATATTTCAACTTAATTCTGAACTTGGATGACTTTTTTTTTTAAGTTTTTTTTAATTTATTTGAGAGAGAGAGACACAGCGAGAGAGGGAACACAAGCAGGGGGAGTGGAAGAGGGAGAAGCAGGCTTCCCGCTGAGCAGGGAGCCCGATGCGGGGCTCGATCCCAGGACCCTGGGATCATGACCTGAGCCGAAGGCAGACGCTTACCGACTGAGCCACCCAGGCGCCCCTGGGATGACTTTTTAAAGAAACCTTTATTTTGAAACCTTTCTTTCTACAGATGTATATGCACTTTAAAATGGTTAGAAAATACAAAAAAGAGGATAAAATAAAATCAATCATCTCTCTTTTCATGTCTTTCCAGGTTCTTTTCCAAATAACATATACACTTAAATACCTTTTTTTATTTTTAAACCATGAGTTTACTGTCCAAGTTTTCATTTCCCGATGTATCTTGGACAATGATTAACCTTTTTTAAAAAGATGTCAAATGGTAAAATCAAAAGAAAAAATTTCATAACATTTCTGCTTGTATCAAATTCCATTTGACCTCATAATTTAACTATGTAATTATATACTTCAAATATTTAACATCATATGCAACTCTTCTCATTGATGTCCTTTAAACTGTCTCTTCCCTTTCTTACAGCGTGATTAGTGTTGTCTGCAACCAATACAAATAACCAGTGACAGAGCTGGAGTAAGAATCCAGGATTCCTGAGAGTACAATCAAATGCTTTTCCTTTTTTTTTTTTTTAAAGATTTTATTTATTTGAGAGAGAGAGACACAGTGAGAGAGGGAACACAAGCAGGGGGAGTGGGAGAGGGAGAAGCAGGCTTCCCGCCGAGGAGGGAGCCCGATGCGGGGCTCGATCCCAGGACCCTGGGATCATGACCTGAGCCGAAGGCAGAGGTTTAATGACTGAGCCATCCAGGCGCCCCTCAAATGCTTTTTCTAATTCACCAATAGTTTCCTACCAGTGTTCCAAAATGTCCAACTGTATGCCTTTGGGGCCAGGGTACGTGAGGGTAGAGCACAGCAAGTGAGCAGGCTCCAGGACCCCATGCCTGCTTCAACTGGAGAAAATTTACTTATATCTACTTCATAAATTTGTGCATATTAGATTTTACATCAATAAAGGGCTCCACTGTTTAAGCTTGAAAACCACTGCTGTGCAACCTTGCTTTCATGCCATCTCATTAGCCCACAACCTCCCCCGTATTTAAAAAAAAAAAAAATTTGACTATGTTAATCCCAATGGGCTATGGGGTCTTAAACCAGGGTCCATACAAACAGACATTCGCAAATACACTTTATGGAGTCCCTGAATCTTTATGAATAATTGTGAATGTATTTTTGAGTTATTTCAGAGGACAGAGTCCATTGCTTTTATGATATTAAAAAAAAAAAGACATCACTGCAGAAGCATTAAGAACTATAAATCTAAATAATGTTGTTTCTCTTTCTTTCACAGTTGAAAATCTTGAAGTGTTGGTTATACACACTATCTCATCAACTTAGTAACTTGGTTTTTATGTTTAATCTTGAAAGCAAAAAAGGGAAATCTCCACACACCAAAAATAGAGTTCAACAGCTACAGTAGTGAATGGGAATTGGAGATACCTAGAGAAGTTCATTGCCGAGAGTCCACAGACCCAACACAACAGGAAAATTCATAGCTAAGGAACTAAAGATAATAATCTAAAAAGAAGATTAAAATAATTACAGTTAAAAATATTCAAAGATATAAAGGAACAGAATCCTTTTAAAAATTAGATAATACTATAAAATAGTAGTAGGCTAATCTGAAAAACCAAGTACAAATTGAGAAATAAAAATCTCAAAAATGGGTTAAACAATAAACTATGTAGCAGAAGGGAGAATTATTGATTGGAAAATTATCAGTCAGAACACAGAGGAATGAAGAGATGAAAAACATAAAAGATAAAATGAGAAGCTCAATAACAAATAAGAGTCCCATAAGGGAAGAATAAAGAAAGTGGTGAAAAGGCATTATTCAAAGAGAACATGCTGAGAATTAAGATGCAAGACCTCAAATTGAAAATGCACATAAGCCCCAAGTGGCATAAATTAAAAAAAAGATTTACCAACACATGGTAGGGAAATTGCAGAACGTGAAGGGCAAACAAAAAAATCTTTAAAAAAGCAAACCAGAGATAAAGATAAACTAAAGCAACAAAAGCAGCAAACTTTTCATCAAAGCAAGATATCAAAAGACAGGAATATCCTCAAGGTGCTGAGAGAGTTGATATATACCCAGGTAAATATTATTCAGAAGTGAAGGCAAAATAATCATTTTCAGACATAACAGAGTTTATAAGCAAGCCCCCTCATTAAAGAACAACTAAAAGACACACTTTAACAATAAAATAAACCCAAAGGAGATGAATGCCAAGGAGCTATGAATATGATAAAGCATACTATTACTGGGCGGATAAATGAATGAATGAAAGAAAGGATTTATTTTGAATACTCTGATCAAATATAATACAAATCTTTCCATGTAAATTACTATTTTTCTACAATATATCTTTTATAGCAGCATAGTGTTACATTACATAGATGCTCCATAATTTAACCAATCATCTATTGTTGGCTATTTAGGTTGTTCCCAATTTTCCACTATTATATACTGCACTACAGTGTAATTACCCTTCTTACCCCTTCTTACACATAAATCCATACTACCATCTATGATGTTTCTTCAAAATAATTAGAAATCAAATAGGCACACGCATTTTTTAAGGCTTTGATACCAAATGTCCCAAAAGGTTGTGCCTGTTTACATACCCACTAGCAACATATCAAAATATCCAATTACCCATATTCCCACCAATACATGGTACTATCATCCTCCTTAGACCTTCAAAAATGGTGTCTAATTATTGTTTTACTTTGCATTCCTTAAATTACTGGTGGCATTGATTCATTAGCCATTTGCATTTCTTATGAACCACCTGCTAGTGCTATGTATCTATTTTACTACAGGGGATATCTTTTCCTTATTATATTTAACATATATATATATATGACTCATAAATTATCAATTATTTGTCTCAGAATGTTCCCAGTTTATGATATTGCTTGCATTTTTTTCTATCATGCAGGTTATATCCCATAGGAAGATTATCTTTTTATCTACCATCATTCAGGTTTGTTTTTTTTTTTTTTTTACCATACCTGGTTCTCAATAGATGCTGATGGAACTAAAATATTTCTTCACACATCCCTTCATCATTTCTAATCCCATCATTCCAAACAATGCAATATGCACAGCACCTTACAAGTGTCTTAACTGGCCTGCCTTTAGACTCTTTCCCATCTCCAATTTTTCCTCACAGATTACCACCAATTAACATACCGAAAACACCATTTGCAACATGCTACTCCTCTGAACAAAAACTTCCTAGAGTTCTCTATTATTTGAATAAGAAAATACAATGTTCGTAAATAGACCCACATAATCTAAGTATTATCACCCAATCTCTACTTTTGGCTTTGCAATGATGCGCTCTGTCTAGATGCCCTTTTATACCCCATTTGCCTCTAAAATTTATGTATCATTTGATATACAACTCTAATGATTGTCTTCTCCACTAATCAGTTTATAGTATACGTAACAAAACAAATTATAACAAATTATTAGATATCTGACTTGTTTGCACTGTTCCCCTACGCTATGATGATAGATTTTTTCAGTTCCAAAAGTGGTATTTCCAGTCAGAGTTATGCATGATTCTGCCCCTCACCTTTTTGTGTCCAAGGAAAACCTACTGCCTCATAAGGATCATCTATCAGGGAAGACATTCTGCCCCAAGAACCTCCCAAGAGACTTTTCCAACTCTTGGTCTCCTTCTGGCCAGTATTTTTTTCTTCTCTCCACCATTTCCATTTTTATAAAATTATAATAAAATGCCTACATACACTAACCTAAGAACGTAACATTCAAATAATTGCATAAATCATGATGTTACCGAAACAGAAAGTTGTCCAGCAGTAGCTCCAATCATAAAATAGCTCAAATAAGTTTGTAAGTTGTTAAAGGAAGGTATGTAATCCAACATACAAAACGTGGTGTTAAAATATAATTGAAAAACAAGTAAACGTATTTCAGCATTTCTTGATTTTTCAGTCAAAAAACTAGAACATATTTCTGATATGACAAAAATAAAAAATACATTTACATTAACATCACAACTGTGTAAATTAGGCCTATGAAAAAGACAAAACACAAAAAAAATCCCTAATTTCCCAAACTTCTGTAGAGTTGATTTCCTTGTAACTTTTTTTTTTTTTTAAGTGTAATGGAATATTTGGGGTGATAGAATAGTTCTGCGTCCGGCGCCTGGGTGGCTCAGTCGTTAAGCGTCTGCCTTCAGCTCTGGTCATGATCCCAGGGTCCTGGGATCAAGCCCCGCATTGGGCTCCCTGCTCAGTGGGAGGCCTGCTTCTCCCTCTCCCACTCCCCCTGCTTGTGTTCCCTCTCTCGCTGTCTCTCTCTCTCTGTTGAAAAATAAAATCTTAAAAAAAAAAAAGTTCTGTGTCATGACAGTGGTGGTAGATACACAATTATATGCATTTGTCAAAACTCACAGAAGCGTACATTACAAAGAATGAATTTTTGAAGACTAAAAAACAAAAACAAAATGTGAAGGAACACAAAATGGAACACGAACTAATAAAAACAAAACTGTAGGGGCGCCTGGGTGGCTCAGTTGGTTAAGCGACTGCCTTCGGCTCAGGTCATGATCCTGGAGTCCCTGGATCGAGTCCCGCATCGGGCTCCCTGCTCCGCAGGGAGTCTGCTTCTCCCTCTGACCCTCCCCCCTCTCATGTGCTCTCATTCTGTCTCAAATAAATAAATAAAATCTTTAAAAAAAAAAACAAAACTGTATTACCAATGAATAGCATAACCACACTGAAAGTAGGGGAAGAAAATAATTAATCTAGGTAACTGGAAAACACTATTTTAACTGGATACCACAAGGCTAAAGACAAAAAGAACTACACACAGTTTTCTAATAAGCAAATTTGTTTTTTATAGGAGTATGGGTTACAAATCCTAAAAATCCTTTATGTGTATATGAGAATTGAGCAAATAAAATATTTTGTAGAACACAAAAGCCAGATTTCTGTCAACAGAAGAAGTAACAAATAAGGGGCATGACTAGAATGAACCCTGTGGTGTTGGTTTACAAATGGAACTCTCAGAATGAATTTTTTTAAATATATATACACAGATATATGAGTACATATACACAAATACAAAAACAAATTTTGTGTATGCATGGGTGTGTGTGTGTATCCATGGATTATGTGTATATATATGTACATAGCTAAGAAATACATATATTTTTTCAAATAAACATAATATAAATAAGTAAAATATTTAATATTTTATAATTACGTAAATATATAATAAATATGATATAAAATGTTTTATTTTTTGGGACGCCTGGGTGGCTCAGTCGGTAAGCATCTGCCTTCGGCTCAGGTCATGATCCCAGGATTCTGGGATAGAGTCCCGCATCGGGATCCCTGCTCAGTGGGGAGTCTGCTTCTCCCTCTCTGCCTGCTGCTCCCTCTTCTTTGTGCTCTCTCTCTCTAATAAATAAAAATAAAATCTTTAAGAAAAAAAGATTTTAAAAAATGTTTTACTTATTTGTAAAGGACAAATATTTATTAAAAAAATATATATTTTTATATATTCCTGTCTTCTGCCAGGAACCACAAACATTACTCCAGTAGCAACGAGCACACCTAGTGCCCTGATCTTGGTGTTTAAGTACCACTCTCCAAAAAAGGAAACCAGGGGTCCTTGGAGAAATGGTTGATTCCAGGGCTGGGGCAGGGAAAACACAAGATAAGCCTGGAACATCTTATGGTGCCAGAAAATAAGGAAGTTCTCAAAAAGTGATGGAGGCCTGTCAAAAGGAAGCAACCTGAAAAAACTCCCAAGGGACAAAGCTGGAACAAAAACATTGGGATAATATAAATAACAAAAATAACCAATAAATGAGTCCATACTGATACAAAAAAATAACTGAATAAATAAATAGGAAGGGGAAGCTCTTCCTTAAAGAAGTCCAATTAATAAGAGGAGGACGAAATGAGGGAAACAGAAAATCACCATTAGAACATCAAAGTAATAATCACTGAAGGCAAGATCCACCAATGAATGGTAAAATCAGCAAGTGAAAGTTTGAGGAGAAACAAGATATTTTCATAGTTTAGAAACTCTCCCAAGATATCTGATTCATTGTCAAGGGAAAAGTAGTAAATTTAGAGAATCCTAGCAGACACCATCCTTAACCAAGTGATCAATAGTAATATCAAAAACAGTGTGTTATAACATGAACCCCTCATACGATGAACTGAGAAGGGTACGTCCACTTCTGTGATATCAACAAAAATGCAAAACCTTAATCTAATCTTAAGAAAACATCAGATAAAACCTAACTGAGGGACACTCTACAAAATAATTGACCAGGATTCTTTGCAAGTGTCAAGATGAGGAAAGACAAGAAAAGACTAAGGAGCCATGCCAATTAAATGCAATGTGGGATCTTATATTGGATCCTGGAACAGAAAGAAAAGGACATTAGTATAAAAAATTATGAAATCTGAAAAAAGGTGATAGTTTGGTTAACAGAATTGTACCAATGATATTTTCTAATTTTTTATAATTGTACTATAGTTCTATAAGGCGTTAACATTAAAGGAAGCTATAGAGAGCTCTCTTACTTTTGCAAGTTCTCTGTACTTGTAAAATTATTTCAAAATAAAAAGGCTTTCTAAAAACGTCTGATGTTTCACAGAAGACAGCTCAAACATTTTGAAGAATTGCACTGACACTTGCGGACGCCGGGGTGCCAGGTGCTCTACAAACTACCCTTTAGTGCTTAGAACTACTATCAGCTGAGTACCATTAATACTCCTGTTGCCCGTGAGGAAAAAGTACTGGGAGGTTCACATTACTTAGATTATTTATAAGTAAAAAGCCCCATTTCTCAGAAAAAGTCCCAAACTGCCAGCAACCTTCCGCCCTCCCCCCAAAAGCGAGAACACCGTCCATCAGCCTAGAGATCCCACATGTCCTCCCAGTGGTGGCCCCGAATGTCCTCAGGCACGTCTCCCCGTGCTTCTGACTGGGGGACGGGGCACTGACTTTGGAAAGAAAAGTCCCGGCCCTTGATCCTCGCAAATGGTCCCTTCTCCAAGCCCTCCGATTCCGAATTTATTTAGGAGGGAGTCAGATGCGGGACCTTCCAGAACCACCTCCCGGTCTCTGGCTCCCGGTCCTCCCCTCACTGCCCCCGAGCCTCGCATCACGCCTCGCAGGGTCGCCCACGGCGCCCCTGCGCCGTAAGCACCAGACGCCCCCACCAGAGAACGGCTGCACGGGCGGTCTCGGACCACGCAGCCGGGCGACCCTGACGACCTAGGGCCCACACTGCGTCACGGGCAGGGCAGCGCAGGTGCAGGAAACTTTCCCACCCGCGACCCCAGGAGGCCGCCGCGCTCGCCCTGTCGGCGGCCTCCCAACACCCGCTTCGACAAGGGCTTCCAAAAACGAAACCGCCACTTCTTGGAGCCGGGAGGAGCCCTCAAAGCGCTCGCACTCCGGACCCGATACCGGGCTTCCCACCGGGAGCCTCCCCCGCGCGCGAGCTCAGCGCCCATGCCACAAAGCCCGTCGGGGCCTGACGCCCCCGAGGCAGCCTCCCGCAAACCCCTTACCTCCCGCCGGGGCGCTCGAGGCCGCTTGATGGCACGGCGCAGGCGCGGGCGCGACGGGGCGGGGCGTCGTGAGGGGCTGGGCGGGCTGGGCCACGCCCCCTCCCGGCCCTTTTGGGCCCTACGGGGCGTGGCAGCCACGCTGTGACGGCTTCCCGCTGGGGGAACGATTTAAGAAATTGGTCATGGTTTGTGTTGCGAGGTTGCAACACTGGAGCCAGGAGGAGAGAGACCCACAATCACCTTTTAGGTTTTTGTGTTGTGTTTTTAGTATGACATAATTCACACATGCATAGCTTTCTACATTTTGCAAAGTTTTCCTGTCCATTTTCCCGTTTTAACAGGAATTTTATTGGCGGGCTGGCCATGTGTTTCTAAGCTTTTTACACACGTAGAAACTGAAGCTCTGAAAGGTTGTGCCTTCTCCCATTCGTCCCCAAAACCCTGTGAGGTGAACAGGACACAAGTCTTAACAACCGTAACAGGCGCAGAAATTGAAGCTCAGACACGTTATGATTTCCCTACCCGCCAAAGCTGGGGGAGTCCTTCACGCCACCGTCCTTCTCCCAATTTTACTGATAATGACGCCGAGGTTAAAGAGTTTTAAGTGACTCACTCCAGTTCAGCCAGTTAGTAAAAGAGTTGGAACTCCACTGGGTTTCCTAATTTCCTTCTCAAGCTCTTCCAGTGACCAGCGGCTACCAATGACCAAGCAGGTGGCTGGCTCTGATGCCCTGTCCGGGTCACATGACCTGACTTCCAGACCCACCCTTTCTTATGTGTTTGTGAATGTTCAGATGACTTGTTTAGAATGTATCCCCTGACAGTATTATCCTCAGAAGTCATAAGAATGTTCAAGCCACGGCTCAGGAAACTCAGGTCTTAAGGTCTCCAGTGGAGCTGGAGTAGAGGTAGAAATTGTAGACTAAAGATGAGGGGCCTGTGAGAAAGTCTTGAAAAGCAATTTCTAAACTAAAGCAAAAATACCTAAGCAATTTGGAGATTCTTTGTGGGTATAATGAATGCTGATGTTTGTTTTACTCTAGGAATGAAAGGCTTATAAATGTTTAATTTTAAGAAGAAATATTAAAGTATTAAGCCATGTCATGGGAAAATGTTTTTCATGCAAAGGTCCGTTGAACAAGATCTTTTGAAATGAAGGTCATTCAAAATAAGTTCTGAAAACCTGCCTCAACTATAGTTGGGAGATGTGGAACTCAAGGACTCTGAATTTGAACCTAGCCTTCTAGGCTATTATCTGTATGTTTGCTATCATTTAGGTGTGTCAAGGTAGCAGGGTAAAGCTTTTTAATCTAACAGTTTGTTAGCTTGATTTATAATCTCTAAATATTTAAACATACAGTGTGTGTGGAACTCTTTGTTTTCATGCCTGGGGGCCCTAAGGTTGTCAGGGCAGGCCTGCTGCTACTAGCCAACATTTTCCCCAGGTCCTAACTGAAACAGGAAGGCAAAACTAAATAAAACAGTAAATACGTATATTTGAAAGAAAAAGGGAAAAAAATATTTTCACATATTAAGATTGCTGACTTGGAAATCCCAAAGGAAAGAATTAAAATTGAAGCGAAGTTCAGTAAGGTAGCTAGAGAAATGACTTTCCTAAACTGCCAATTTTACAATGTAGCAGGAGAAAAGACCATATTCAAAAATAGTAGAATCAAGTTTGTGTTTATAAGGAATTACAGGACCTATCTGAAGAATTAAGAATAATAGCTAAATGGGGTGAGGGTAGAGGGAAGAATTATAAAGGGTCATGAGGAAACTTTGGGGGTGATGGATATGTTCATTATCTTTATTGGGGTACTAGTTGCACGGGTTTATACATATATCAAAACTTACCAAATTGTACACTTTTTTTTAATGCATTTTTTTAAAGATTTATTTATTTATTTGAGAGAGAGAAAGCATGCACAAGCAGGGGAGGAGCAGAGGGAGAGAGAATCTCAAGCAGACTCCCCGCTGAGCATGGGGCTTGATCCCACAACCCTGAGATCAAGACCTGAGCCAAAACCAAGAGTCAGACTCTTAAACAACTGAGCCACCCAGGCGCCCCCCAAATTGTACACTTTATTTTTTTTTAAGATTTTATTTATTTATTTGACACAGAGAGAGAGAGAGCAAGAGAGGGAACACAAGCAGGGGGAGCAGAAGAGGGAGAAGCAGGCTTCTGGCTGAGCAGGGAGCCCTATGAGGGGCTTGATCCCAGGACCCTGGGATCATGACCTGAGCCGAAGGCAGACGCTTAACGACTAAGCCACCCAGGCGCCCCCCAAATTGTACACTTTAAATATGTGTATATGTGTTTACTGAATGTCAGTCATACCTGAATAAAGCTGTTTCTTGAGAAAAAGGTATATATTATTATTTGCTTAACACCTAGTACAGTTCTTGGAACATGAAAACATTTAAAAGACTAAGAAAATAATATATATTCACTGTATGAATTAAGAAATACTTTTTTTAGTATCACAGAGCAAGTATATGGAGAATCTGAGACTCAAATTCAGATTTGGCACAATAATAGAGACTTCTGAGGTTATCTTCCCAGCCCAGTCCTTTTCTGGGAACTGCCTTTCCAAGCCCGATCTGCAGGCTGTCAGTTATGAGCCTCTGGCAGCCATTTTGTACAAGTGTGAATGCATGCCCATGACCATAGTGAATTGGTCCAGGAGCAGACACCTGACTCAAACTGGAATAAGATACCTTTCCCAGGAATTTGTGATTCGGGCCTCAGGCTGACTGGTTTCTTGAAAGGAGAAGATGCTCACAGCAGAGCTCTTAGTGGCCCTGTTTTTCACTCCATAGACTGGTAAATCAGAGGAAGCCATGCTGTTCTTAGATCCTATTTGTAATTGTGGAGAGGTGAGTATAGGTATGTCCTATTTCATGGTTTTAAAAAAGTATTTTTGGTTTTTGGGGGGGTATTTTTTTTTACTACAGGTCATGTTCAAAAAACATTTTTTTTTTTAAGATTTTATTTGAGAGAGAGAAAGCGAACATGAATGGGGGGAAGGGCAGACAGAGAGGGAGAGGCAAACTCCCCACTGAGCAGGGAGCAAGCCTGAAGGCCCACCAGGATCATGACTTGAGCTGAAGGCAGATGCTTAACCTACTGAGCCACCCTCAAAAAACATTCAAAAGCCACTATCCTCACTAGGTTCTTTCTTGATCCATGAATTATTAAAACATCTACTGCAGTTCTGAATGCATTCTATTTCTTTGTGCATTCTATCAACCCAACCATCTTGGGAACCGAGATGAAGAAAGGTTAAAAATAAAGTAATATTAGTGGTTACCTTTGGGATGGCATTAACTGGGAGAGGGCATAAAGGAGCTTTCTAGGGTGCTGGAAATGTTCTATATATTGACATGGCATGATTACATTTGTGAAAATTCATCAAGCTGTACACCTAAGATCTATGTACTTTATGTAAGTTATCCCACAATAAAAAAGGAAAATAAAGAGCTAGCAATTCTTGATTTAAAACAAACAAAACCTCTTAGTAAATAAGGAAATAGATACTTCCTTAATATTATTTCTATTACCTCTCTCTGAGGTAGTGGTGAATTAGCAACAGTAATTCCTACCCTTGTTAAGGCCCTTCATCCCTTTGAAAATAAAATAAAAAGCCATGGAAGAGAGGGGGGAGGGGGGGAATGTTTAGATGCACAAAAAAGAAACAGAGTTTAGAGCACAAAGTCCTGGTTCCAGTTGACTTTAGTACTTAACCCTCTCTACGTCCTGCTTTACTGTCCCCTATCACCACCACCATACATGTACACATGCACACACACACCACATCCACCAAACAGTTTGTTCATGTGTATTACAGTTATAGAGACCTCATATCAAACCAAAAGGAGTAAACTCTGGGCATACAGTAACTCTGGAATTCTCCACTCATCAACCATTCCCCACAAAGGAATTCGATAATCATTTCACATGTAGAATATCTTAAATGCCCAGACATCTGCCTAGAAACCCCCCTACCCACCCCACTTTTTGTTCTTTTATTTTTTTATTTTTTTAAAGATTTTATTTATTTATTTATTTGAGAGAGAGAGAACACCTGAGAGGGGATAGGGTCAGAGGACGAAGCAGACTCCCTGCCGAGCAGGAAGCCCGATGCGGGACTCGATCCAGGGACTCCAGGATCATGACCTGAGCCGAAGGCAGTTGCTTAACCAACTGAGCCACCTAGGCGCCCCACTTTTTGTTCTTTTAATTACCTTAATTATTCTCAAAACTTGGTGTGCCCAAGGATTATTGCATAAGGTAGTATTTATAAAACCATGTTTGATGGACCTTATGGGCAATTTAAACAATTTTCAAGGGTAATTTTAACTAATTTTTGCTTTATTCACCGACTTTAATTCCTCATAGCCACACCTCTCACTGTCCAACTCACCTTCCAAAGATGCAAGTTTCTATTTGTAATGACAATGGTGATATCAATAGAGATGTTAAAGGATTTAAGTTCCCTGGTTAGCTTTCTATAAAAGACCAACCCTAAAGGCCCTCTTTGGCAACCCTGTTGGGACCCCTCTCACTCTTGAGAGCTTTTACTGTATCTTCACTTAATAAACTTCTATTGCTTTACTCACAAAACAAAACAAAACAAAACAAAACAAACCCAGTAAACATACTAGCATTAGAATCATATACTAAATGTTGTTTAAACTTCGGCAATTTGCAAGGCACCTTGAATTTTATAGTACCTTAGTTGTTATTATCAGGAATGTCCGTTAAAAATCACATGATAGATAAGAGTGCCTGGGTGGCTCAGTCGGTTAAGCATCTGACTCTTGATTTCAGCTCAGGTCATGATCTCAGGGTTGTGAGATTGAGCCTCGCATCGGGTCTGCACTGGGTGTGGAGCCTGCTTAAGATTCTCTCTCCCTCTCATTCATAAATAAATAAATTAAACAAACAAACAAACTAGGTGTGGAGCCTGCTTAAGATTCTCCCTCTCATTCATTCATTCATTCAATCAATCAATCAATCAATCAATAAAATATGATATGATATCATAGATATACAGACAAGC